TAACTGAACTGTGGCAACTGAAATTCAGGCATATCAAAACCATGCACAGAAAGGTCAGTCAGTAAAGTACAAATCTGAAGCCAGATCAAGATATAAATCCCAACTCTAGCACTTACTACTTATATGACATTAGGTAAGTCATTTGATCTTTCTGGGCTTCAGTTTTTCCATCCTTAAAAGGGAGATAACAGTATAAACCTCACAGAATTATTGTGAGGACTAAATACGAGGTCTGTCCAGGAGGTATCTAGCCACGTAATATGAAAAAAATTAAAACTTTTATCAAAGAAGACACAAGATACAAAAAACACTGTACATTGGACAATAACACCTCAGTCCCCTTCAAAATAGGTACGTTGGGATCTCACACAGTTCTCCCAATCACCATCTGATTCCCTGTTCTATTTTCCTGAATCTCATCTATGGTCTGAAATCTTTTCTCTTTCAAAGGTGATTTTAGTTTTGGGAAAAGCCAGAAGTTACAGAACACCAAATCTGGGCTATAAGAGGACTGAGTCACCTGGGTGATTTGATGTTTCAACAAAAAACTCTGCATGAGATGTGATGCATGAGTGGGTGCATTGTCAGATAAAGCTGCCAATCACCAGTTGCCCATACCTGTGGCTTTGTTAATCATCCAAATAGTTTCTGTGGAGGAATATTCAAGCTTAATCCAAAATTTGATGAAAATCTGTTGCTCTACTCGTTCAGTCACTTTGAATGCGACAGCCACATGGTACACATGCTCAATCAATGGCAACCACTGCCCCCAGTGACTAGTCATTATTGTTCATGCATGTGTATTCCAGTCCACTCTCCTTGGTTGCCAGCTTACATTAATGTCATGCAAACCATTCTTGTTATATTAACAATGGCTAGACTTTTGCTGGACAGACACTTTACATATAGAATGTTTCTGACCCTTACTGAACACCGTGAATATTTTAGTTATTACTACACAACTGTTACTACAAATAATACTTATACTATATTGTCCATACCCACATTGTCTAATAAGGTAGCTAGTAGCCACATGGGACTATTTCAATTATGTTAACTAAAATTAATAAAAATTAAAAATTCAATTCCTCAGCAACACCGGCCACATTTTAAATAGTCAATGGCTACATTTCCATCATTGCAGAAATTATTTTGGACAACACCATTCTATACTCTTGGGATAGGTAAGAAAGTAGAGTTGGATATGTGAATTTGATATAAACATCACTTCATCACTGGCTCGAAATCAGGAAGAAATTATTAAGTTAAAATGTATATCTGAGAAATACATCAGTGAAAAGAAGAATTTCAATGAAAGGCCTAACTACTGATAAATTCTGAATAAAATGGACTAAGTTTCTTACAGTTAACATTATACATAAAATTTTAATTTATAGGCCCTGGTTCGTGTAGCTCAGTGGATTGAGCATGGGCCTGTGAAGCAAGCGGTCATGGGTTCAATTCCCAGTCAGGGCACACGCCTGGGTTGCCAGCCAGGTCCCTAGTAGGGAGCATGTGAGAGGCAACCACATGTTTTTGTTTCTCTCCCTCTCTTTCTCCCCTCTTTCCCTTCTCTCTAAAAAATAAAGATCTTTAAAAAATTAAAAAATAACTCAAGAAAAATAAATATAAATTAGTGTATAATTAAAGTATCAATAATAATCTAAGCAAACTAAACTACATTTATATTAAACAATCCTTCCTTCCTTCTCAAAAGAAATAAAATTTTCCATGGTACTTTTATTGTTTTTCTGATTCCCCAGTGACACAGTTTCTGAAGTATTAGGTAATTCTGACACACTTGTCTGGGCAGAGGTCATGCTTGCTGGGCCTCTTTCGCTGTCTGCCCTACACTGGACTGAGCAGGGTACTTCTAAACAACCAGTCTTAAATGAATGTTGCTCAAATTGAATTTGCAAAACCATATCATAAGGTAGTAAATAACAACATTTAGTTGATAAAACTATTTCTTGAAAAAAGGGATTGCTACAAAGAAATATAAGGACAAAGTTACACCAGCAAGTCTTGAAGGAGTCTCATAAAGAAATGACCATTTATGTCAAGGATGTCAAACTCAATTTCACTGGGGGCCACATCAGCCTCACAGTTGCCTTCAAAAGGTCGAATGTAATTTTAGGGCTGTATAAATGTAACTTAACTAGGTCGAAGGAGCTCGGGCCTGCCGCTGGGTAGAAACAAGGTGCTGGGCCAGATAAAACGAGGTGGAGGGCCAGATTCAGCCCGTGAACCTTGTGTTTGCCACCTGTGCTTTATGTTACACATAACTTTATTCAAAAAAGCAAACTTCAGTAGAAAAGTCAGTATGACACATTTAGAAAAGCTTTGTAGTTATAAAGGAATAGAAGTAAAATGATTTATCTTACAAATTTATACCACAAGTCCCAAGGGATGATTTCCTGAACTATTACTTAAAAGAAGTTATGTTAATACACTATGTTAAACCTAACAGTTGAGACAAATTCTCATTTTTTCAAAACCTTAGCAAGTATCTATTTTCTTTTACTGATAACAATGATATATTTACTATGTCAGTTTGTACATAAAAATTAGCTTTGAAAAGTTAATAAAAAATCTCACTTTTTTCTTTACAGAATAGTTTAATGACCATTTTGATAGTAAAAACAATATCCCTGAATAGAAAATATCCTTCCAAGGCCTTAATATGTCTGATTATGCTAATATAAAAATAGTTTTAGTAAATGTTTTTGTGGGTTTAATTCATAACAAATTCATTTCAACCCTGTTGGTGATATGGTTCTCATATAAAAACAAGGCAAAATCTCATGGTAAATAATAATATTGATAACAAAAACAACAACTAGCAGGACAAATATTTAAAGTGCTATTAAACTCATAAGTTTAGGATAAAATCTAAGTACTAAAATTCTACTACCAAGGAATGGCTATCTCAAAGCTTCCTTCTAGAAAATACTTTCTTATCAGAGAATCTTATACTTATGAACAGATATTTACAAAAAAGCTCAATAAACTCTGTTCATGGAAATAAGTTAAGATAGAAGTGCAAAAACTAACTTAACATCACAGTCCTGCATTCAAAGAAACACTAAAGGTCCGATGTACTAGTTCTTAAATTTTTTAGTTATTCTTAACCGTACTATGAGAAAATCATATGCCATACTTATTTTAAAAGACAAGGAGATTCCTCTGGGCTTTACTGCTCCTTGTCAAATGTTTACTATATGTGTTAAAAAGGATGACTTATATTTAAGCCAGCCAGCAATATCATAATAGGAAGTGGTTCATCTGATGAGTTTCTTCCAAATCAGTATTGTAAGTACCTGGGAGATGCTATACAAGGAGAGGTGGATAGATTCTGAAATTTTGCACATGTCAGTTTCTCTTGGCCTATATTTTTTAAAAATGTTTCGGAGTTAGAAACACTCCTAAATAGGCAGCTGACTTAAATTCATTTTGGAAAAAAACCCAGGTATAAGTAAGTGATACTTAAGCATCTGTTAGTCTAGTATTTGATACCATTTGTATTAACATTAGTTGATATGTGAAGATGCTTTTTCAGGGTTTTGGTCAATAAAAATCCTGGCTACTGTCTCAGTGCTTTTCTGTCTTTGGTGATATTATTTATATACTGGTCTCTTTTACAATGGCAAATTTTATTTATTAAGAAATATATTGGCCCACTGCTGGGACTCTATCCTAAGAAAACTAAAACACCAATCCAAAAGAACCTATGCATCCCAATGTTCATAGCAGCACAATTTACAATAGCTAGGTGCTAGAAGCAACCTAGATGCCCATCAGTAAATGAATGGATGAAAAAACTATGGTACATTTACACAATGGAATTCTATGCAGCAGAAAGAAAGATCTCCTACCCTTTGCAACAGCTTGGATGGAGCTGGAAAACATTATGCTAAGTGAAACAAACCAGGCAGTGAAAGACAAATACCATATGATCTCACCTTTAACAGGAACCTAAACAACAAAACAAAGAAACAAGCAAAATATAGCCAAAGACACAGAAATAGAGGACAGGCTGACAGTGACCACAGGGGAGAGAAGAGGGAATTTCAGGGGACATTGGGAAGGGTTCACGGGAACAAACTTAAAGGACACATGGACAAAAATTAGGGGGAAGGTGGTAATAGGAGGGAATTGGGAGGGTTGGGAGGGGTGGTGGATTGGGAGTAAAAGGGAGAAAACTGTATTTGAACAATGATTAAAATAAAATTAAAAATATATATATATATTGGCTTGTTTTAAAATTATGATTTCTCATAAATAAAATGCAAAAACAACAATGAAAGAAAACCCAGGACATTCATTTTCAATGTTTTTTTTCCTGTAAGTTGAACTCTTTATTTTTTTACCATTCCTTTTTTTATTGTTGTTCAAGTACAATTGCATCCATTTTCACTCCATTATGCCTCCCCGCCCCTACAATCCCTGTCTCCCATGTTTGAACCCAAAAGGCTTTGTCCATGAGTCCTTTATACATGTTCCTTGATGCCCCCCTACACCATTATCCCCTATTATCCTTTTCCCTCCTTCTTTCTGATTACTGTCAGTTGACCTAATCAAAACAAGCAAGCAAAATACAACCAGAGACACTGAAGTAAAGATCAATTTTTTAAAAGATTTTATTTATTTATTTTTAGAGAGGGGAAGAGAGGGAGCAAGAGGGTGAGAGAAACATCAGTGTGTGGCTGCCTCTCATGCACCTTCTGCTGGGGACCCGGCCTGCAACCCAGGCATGTGCCCTGACTGGGAATCCAACCCATGACCCTTTGGTTCACAGGCCAGCACTCAATCCACAGAGCCACACTAGCCAGGGCCATTTTCAATGTTTTTATTCCTCTTGATGTTCATTAAAGCAATACTATTTAGAAATAAATACTAAAATGTAACTTACTACCTTGTTCTGTGAAACCAGATCCAATAACTATGTCAAAGTTATTGTAAAGTCCATAAATAATTTTGGGTAGTAGAATGAAACTCACGGTTCAGAACATTCTCCAGTTTTTGGGTCATGGAGCCTTCTACTTTTTCCGTTCCATCTGCTTCTAACTTTTGATGGATGGCTAGAATAAAATGTCAAGTTAAAATTTAGGCTATTGAAATGGGTGGGAATAAATCACATCAAAATGTTTTTAAATGGCTTTTCAAAATGGTCATATTATTTTCACTGCTGGAAAGAAGCACAAATGTGCAAAACCTCTTCATAAACACAGCAAAGTAACCAGCAGACACCAGTCAAAATTATTCATAGCATCAAACTATTAAATTAGTACATTATACCCATAATCACATGATCCTCAATATTGAGTTGTAAAAACAGCTGAATTACAAAAGAAAATTGAGATTCAAGTAAATAATATGTTTGATATTTGGCCATAGAAAAGTCATACTTATTTCTCAGTTCACCATCTGCAAAATAGAAATACTATTTGAAATCTATCCAATTAAAAATATTTAATTTTGGACTTGGTAAAATCCATATTATTCACATTCTATTAATTCTATAATTATTTCACGGGAAGTTCCCAAGAAATAGCTAGTAACATCGACCAATACATCAATTTGTGGATATACAAATTACATTGGAGAGTTTTTTGCTACTATTAATAGATGTCTACATAATTATTATAAAGATTGTTAGGAAATCAATAATTTACATTTTATTTATTATTTTTAAATTTTTATTTATTGATTTTAGAGAAAGAGAGGAAGGGAGAGAGGGAGAAAAAGCGAGAAACATCGATTTGTTGTTCTGCTTATTAATGCATTCATTGGTTGATTCTTGTATGTGCCCTGATGGGGAATTGAACCCCAAACCTTAGCACATCAGGACAATGCTCTAACCAACTGAGATACTCAGCCAGGACTAATAATTTATATTTTAAAATTGTCCTACCTAGCAAAGAGGGAAGATTTAAATAGTGCTAATCAAGATTAGGTGAAACACTTAGGAAATTTGCAAAACAAAATGACCAAATACAATTTCAAATTCAAATTTGCAACATATAAAAATAACAAAAATAGCAAGCCAAACATTAATTAAGCCATGACCATAAGTTAAACACAGCAAGTTTCTAAAGCATGTTGCTCATGTAAGAAGCCAATAATGTATGTTGTAATATTATTTCTATTTCACAAATGGTAAAACCATGGCTCAGTGTATTTAAATAAATTGACCAAAGTAACAAAGCCAACCCCAAAATCTGAACTCAAGCAGTCTGATCCTGTAACAGGAAACTTCAACCCATACTGCCCATACTTCCCATTCTGCCCATACTGCATGGGTAAGCAGCATCAATTGTCTACGCCTGTTTTCACACCTGTAAAATGACAACAATAGACTTATTATGTCACTTGGGAACTGCATTCAGTTGCAAATAAAAGGCCCTCTCTCAAAAATAATAGCTGCTAAAACACCCAGAATTTCATTCTTTTACATAATTTGCTCTTGCAAAAACTCAAATGCAAGATGTGTAAATCCACAGGCTTCATAGCCAATATACTGAAATTAACATCACTCTTATGTTAGCTATTCTCATTCAAATAGAGTGTCAAACTTTTTGCTAAAGGAACTCACTAGTTCTGCCTCAACCCTGCCAGCCACAGGTGGCAGATTTCTGAGGAAAGAAAAATCTGTCTAAAGAAAAAAAAAGCGTATTTATTTAATAAATTATAATTTGTTTCTCTTGAATCATTGGTTAGAATTCTGAATCAAATTCAGTGCTTAAGTGCAGTATAAAAAAATACTCTCAATGTGTGATACATCTATTTCTCTGCTTCTTTTAATTACTTTCTAATCCTGATCTTGTTTTTTAATATACTTCTTTTGGTAAAGTAACCTCTAATTTGTTTGAAATTCTAAAACAGACTGCTTCTCTGTTGAAGAAACACATTCATTGAAAAATAAATTTGGGGAAAAAATCAGTCACTATATTATTTGTTGCCTTGGTTGACACCAGAATAAAGAAAAAAGTTATCTCTTTAATGTTTGAAATTTGGATCACGTGATTATAATAAAATGTTTCCAAATATCAATGCCTAAACTTAACTTGAACATGAGTTAAATAGAAAAAAAATCTATATCTTGAAGGAGATAAAAATGCCCAAATATTAAAAAGCAGAACTAGAAAGACTTCCATGTTTGACACAAGCAAATCTGCTCACTCTATTTATTTAAATGTTGCTGTGATTTTCTGAAAAGTTTTGGTTGCAAAAAAACACTTCACACTCATTGCATTTTACTAAGCAGACACTACATGTTGTTTTGTCCATGGCATTAAGACATCTTACAGTAGCCCTGCTTCAAATGTTGCTTTCCTAATTCAAAATAGCATTAAAAGAAATCATGCTTCCACATTTTCAATTGCTAACAAAACCCATTACTGAGCAACAGGTCAAGATAAGGTAAGCCTGGCTCCCTGAGCTCAATTTACAGCTCTTTTCTGCTGACAAAGTAGCTTCCTGCCAACCATCTCCACCACAGCAGAGCCACTGTCAAGCTGTCAGCCAAGCATGAGGACCAAGAGACACAGAGAAGTGATAAAGGCAATCCTATTTACCAGAAAATTAAACCAAATAACCACTGTCTGGTTCCCCTGAACTTTTATTGTCTCTGAAAACATTTTTAAATAGTATAACTCAATAAGCAACTTGGTTTATGAGCAAAGGTTTCTCATTGTTTCTAATCTATTGAAACTTGAAGCAATTGTACACTATAAACTTATATCTTGGATCTTGGAACAAAAAAATAAGTATGTAAAAGTTCTACTTTTAAAATTCAGAGTTATAGAAAGACTGCCTATTTATTCACTGAAATTACTTGACTTTTTAAACTCGCTACTAAAATGAAGGCATCAAATATGCAAATTTCAATAAAAAATATCATATTTGTCCTTGCATTTATATAAGCCATTATTAAATGAGGCATTAAGAAATGATGTATGTCGTGTGTCGGGGGGGCACTATCTGTCAGGATTCAGTGAAGACACAGTGTGATGTACATAACCACTATGTCATTTGCTAGCCTGTGTGACGTGACAATATTCAAACTAGGTCAGAGATTGACAAACTGTTTATACAAAGAGCCAGATAGTAAATATTTAAGGCTTTGTAGGTCACAGAGGGTCTCTATACAATGTTTTTCTTCTCCCATTTTTTCTTTTTTAAAAAACAACCCTGAAAAACAGCCATATTTAGTTCCTGGGCCTGTACAAGGATAGGCTAAGGCCTAATTTGGCCCATGTGCAAAACTCTGAACATAATACTCACTAATAGAAAAAACTAAGAAAGGTTAGGGCAAAATGTATTAATAATTTAAATCTAACAAGAGCTTTTCAAACACTTAATTTCTACCTCTTATTCTACCAATTTTTTATGAGTGGCTAAACACATATAAGTTATTAATATATAAATATCAAACATATTTAAATTGTTTAGGTAATCTGTGAATCCTTTCTGTCCTCAGTTATATTGGAAAAAATAAATAACACAATCGCAACTGCTACATAGAAGACTAACAAGGAAAAAGGAGTCTCGCTTAGATAACTGGATTTTATATAACCATATCTGCCTACATTATCTTCATACATGAATATTGGGTTGGCCAAAAAGTTCATTTAGCTTTTTCCATACAATGGCTCTAGTACTGCTTAGTTGTCTTTAACTTCAATGGAAACAATTTCGTTAGACTGCATTATGACAGCTGTCATTATCAGTATGCATTAAAAAATTATCAAAATTGGTGAATTTTTGTGCAGTCATTTTAATATTGAAAATGAAACAAGATTCATAACATTTTGGGCATATTATGCTTTATTATTTTAAGAAAGGTAAAAACACAACTGAAATGCAAAAAAAGATAAGCACAGTGTATGAAAAAGGTGCTGTAACAGATCAAATGTGTCCAAAGTGGTTTGCAAAGTTTCTTGGTACTAATTACATTTTAGCCAAACAGTTCTTTGCTGTGAGGCTGACCTATGCATTGGAAGATGTTTAGCAACTCTCCTGACTTCTACCCACTAGAGGCCAAGTGGGAGATAGCCAACATACTCAAAATATCCAAATCAATAAAGTTATTGGTGAAAATGAAAAAAAGTGTATTTTATTTTACAGAAAAAAACTAAACTGGCCAACCCAAAAGATAATAACAACAGAATGTGCCAAAAAAACTCAATATGGCTCACATCACCTGGAGCAGCAGCAATGAAAGTAACAAGGAAGGGAAGACCAACCACATATTGAGCAACATGTGTTTACTTTGCTTTGGCTTCTTTATTCTGGAATTTTTTAGTACATTATAAAAAGAAATAATTCACACAATTGGCCCATAGCTATCCTTAAAGACTAGTGATAATGCTCGACTTGCCACTAAAAATCAAGTGACAGTACAGGTGACAAGTTTAAGGAGCCATCAGGGACTGGTCACTGAAACAAAGATAAAAATCAATGGCACTGAAGAAGTAGAAAGGCTTCTAATTATAGGGAACCAGTGGCCGTGGCAATGGCAAATGTACTTCAGCCCTGAATCGGAAAAAAGACAGGCACAAGGTGGCACACAGGCGCCAGGCCCTCAGATAGGCTTTCCTATGGGGAACCAGGACTGCATTATACCTAGACTACTTTGAGGCTTGCTTCTACAAAGACTCCCTCACCCTGAGTTAAGGCAGCAAATGTTGAATGACTATCTTTGAAATAACTTCCTAAAATCTGTGCTAAACCTCTCAAGAGTGGACTGTGTAACCAGTTCAACCATTTTTCCCTTGCATTTGCAACATCATTTTCTTTGCTATCTGTAAAAGGTAATCACCTAAAGCAAACCTGAGAATAATGAATGAGAACCTCTGTTGATGTAATGCTCCCAGAAAGCAATAAAAGCCTGTCCAGACAAGGGTCCCGGTGCTCTCTCACTCCATGCTGTCCCTTTTCTCCACCAGACTTCTGCAGTCCGTGTGAATTTGTTCGTCGCATCCACAACACCATGGACACCACTGGCCGGAATCCACATCATCTAATGTTAAAAAGAAGCTCCGCAAATACCACCATGCCCAGGGAGGACTGCTCTGAG